ATTTTTTCTTCCAAATGATTTTCTATGTCTGATGTGTATTATTATACAAGTAAACATGCGCTCTATATATTTCCTAGTTTCTGAGATGTACTCTTCCACATTTTAACATTTCTAGAATTTAGATGAAATTTTATAATGTATGATTAAATTCAAAAAGTGTTTCTCATCTCCCCCACCTCAAAATGCTATAATTAAATGTAGGTATGCTATCTTAAAATTGAGATCTTTTAAAAATTAAACTTTCTATTATCAGGTAATTACAATTTCACATGTAGCTGTAACAAATAATACAGAACGATCCCTTGTACCTTATTTATCCGGTGTGATGCTTAATTTTATGTGTCAACTTTACTGGCCAAAGGATGATCAGATAACTGGCAAAACATTATTTCTGGTCTTGTCTGTGAGCATGTTTCTAGAAAAGATAAGGATTTGAATCAGTAGCCTGAGTAAAGCTCACCTTCCAAAGCAGCTGGGCAGGGCCTCCCCGGTGGCGCAGCGGTTGAGCGCTGGGTTGCGAAGCTGCCCGCAGCCTCTGCAGCGCCGGTTCGATTCCTGGCTGCTCCCCGGCCACCAGAGGAGGGTCCCACATGGTGCGCAGACCTCTCCTGCCGCCCGCTGCTCCCCTCAGCAGTGTACCTCGGTCCTTCTGCCTGCTCTGCTCCCTGCTCTGGCTCTGGTGAATTCTCTCACCCTCCCGCGCTTCTGACTGTACCCAGTGCATGTATAAACAAAAAAACAAATGAACAAACAAATAAATAAATAAATAAAACATGCCTCTATAAAAAAAAAAAAAAACAAAGCAGCTGGGCATCATCCAGTCAGTTGAGGGCCTGAATAGAGCAGAAAGGTGGAGGAAAAGTGAATTTGCTTTCTTTACTTAAACTGAGACATTCTTTTTTCTGCCTTTGCACATCAGATCTCCCGGTTCTTGGGCCTTTGGACTTGAACTGAGATTTATGCCATCATGTGGGTCTGCTACTCCTAAGCTGCCTTTTCGGCCACCATTTTGTTACCTATAGCTCTAAATTCTAAGCAAGGTCAAAATGACCCATTCAGTTAGGTACAGGAACCCAACCCTGCAAGGTGCCTTTCAGATCAAACAAGAGCACAAAGCTGGATCATGCTGGGAAGGCTATGCATCAAGAGGTATATCAAGGAACGCTGGGGGTGGGGGCGAGGCCCCAATGTATAATAAGGGACCCCAGAAGCTGATCAGTGCAATGCCTTGTTGATAAGAATGAAACCATGGTTGGAGAACTAGAGCTTCAACTCAATTACAATACCAAGTCATCAAGCACATGAAAAGTGCCTGAAGGGCAGACTTTCACCCCAATACTATAGATGACAGACCACCTTTTCTAGTTTCACCCCTCCCTTTTCTCTTTGTCCTCCTTCTCTTAAATAATGCTGCTAAAGCTGTATAATTCTTTTTCTTTTTTAATTTTAAAGATTGATCTATCTATACATACAAGAACTGGGGTACAGGTCAGAATTGTGGGTGTGTGTGTGAGAGGATTCACCAAAGACAAAGTGGAGAACAGAACAGGCAGATCTACTGAAATATACTGCTGAGGGGAGCAGTGGGCAAGACAGGAGAGGTCCACTGCACCATGTGGGCAACTCCCTGGCCGGGGGTCGAACTTGTGCTTCAGTGACTGTGAATAGTTTCATAGGCTGCGTCCTAACCCCTTGCACCACCAGGGAGGCCCTATAATTCTTGTATTGTTACAGGGCAGGAAGAGGGGTACCCCAGACCCAGCAAACCTGCCTGCTCTAAAGAGCTTCTGCCATCCGCCACATCAACACAAAACATATGAGACTTTAAAGAAAAGGAACTTTAATACAATTAGGAAACAATTCAGGAAAGGCAAAGAATATAGTTTCTAAATCAAGCACCCAAAGTTACCTGTCCCTTCGTGGGTAAAATTCCACCCACACAGGATTGGCCCAGAGCAAGGCCCAAAAGCCTGTCACAAGTCTAAAGCATCTTCCAGTGGGGACCCACAGAAAAGGATCAGAAACAACCAGACAAGTCTGGGAGGAAAAGAGCAAAATCAAAATCAAGACCAAAAAACGCCATTGTCACCTCCCCACAAATCTCTAACCCACATCTGTTTCAACCAGTCCACGACCAAAAGGCAAGCGCAGTTTCTTCACATGTCTCTTTGCTCCATGTGCCTCCTCCAGGTCTCCTTCTGGCTCCATCCTTCTTCCTTCCTTCTCCGTCTCCTCTGCAGCTTCTTCTTCTCCCAGCTCAGCTCCACCCTCCTTTTCAGGAAACCTGGAACCTCTCCCTTTCCTGGGGACCACCCTGTTACAGGATCAATAAAAAAGGGCCAGGATCTTGCTCTTCAGCAGCATTCTGCATTAGGTAGCCTGCTCCATGTCTCCCATTTCTTTATCAGTGTGGCGTTGTCCAATGCAACACCATCAGCCCTTGTTTCTCAAACCTTTGAACTTGAACCAAACTACATCACAGGGTTTTTTTGTTTTTATAGCTTGCAGATGACAGATTATGGAACTTCTCTGCCTCCATAATCACATGAGCCAATGCCTATAATAAATCTCTTTTCTTAAAATATATTTATTTATTTATGCATACAAGAGCTGGGGTATACGCCAGAGATGCAGGGGGTGAGAAGATTCACCAGAGACAGAGTGGGGAGCAGAACAGGCAGACTGACTGAAATACACTGCTGAGGGGAGCAGTGGGGAGACAGGAGAGGTCTGCCTCGCCATGTGGGTTGCTCCCTGGCTGGCCAGGGATTGAAGTTGTGTTGCAGAGGCTGAGGATTGCTTCATAGTGCGGTGCTTGACCCCTTGCGCCACCAGGGAGGCCCAATAAATCTCTTATAGCTACCTTAAGGTCTACAGATCCAGTTGGCTCTGTTTCTCTGGAGAACCCTGACTAATAAACCCAGTTTCCCCCACTGGTAACATCTTGCAAAACTCTAGTCTAGTATGATAACCAGGATATTAACATTGATACAGGACATTTCCATCACAAGGATCCCCAGTGTTTCCCTCTGTTCTCCTCACTGTCCCCTGCCCCCATCAACCTCAGGCAGGCACCTATTTGTTCATCAATAACAATAATTTTGTTATTTCAAGAATGTTTTATAAATGGAATCATACAACATGTAGATATTTTTGACTTTTTTTTTTCCTTCAGCATATTCTCTGGCAATTGGTCCCGGTTTGCATGATCAATAATGTGTTCTCTCTCTTTTTTGGTCTCTCTCTTTATTGAACGGACGACCTTGATTTATTTAACTGTCACCCACTGAAGTACGTCTGAGTTTCCAGCTTTTGGCAATTACAAATAAAATCACTATGAACATTCACATACAGACCTGTCTTCATTTCTCTGGGATAAATGCCCAGGATTGCAATTTCTGGGTTGTATGGGGATTGCATGTTCAGTTTTTTTTTTGTTGTTTGTTTTTATATCCAAAGGGCAGGCTTATTATAAAAAGGAAAAGAAAAGAATGTTTGTACAGATACAAATGGGCAGAAAGAGGATCTGCTGCATGTTTAGTTTTAAAGAAATTGTCAGTTATCCAGTGTCTGTACCATTTTATAGTCCCACCAGCAATGTGTACATGATTTGGTTTTGCTGCATCCTTGCCAGTATTTTGTGTTATTTTTTATTTTAGCCATTCTATTAGGTATGTGTCAGAATTTCCTTAATAGTTTTAGTACTTTTCAAATGATCTATTTCATATTGGGTAAGTTCTGTTAGTGTTTTTCAAGGAATTGGTCCGTTTCATCTAAGTTGTAAAATTTACATGGGTAGAATTATTTTTAGTATTCTTTTCAATTTCATTGACTTCTATTCTTTATTTCCTTTGGCTTTGGGTTTATTTTTCTTTTTCTAGTTTCTTGATTGGGAGCTTAGATTATTGATCTGAGACTTTTTTACCCTAAGATGTACACTTAGTGCTATACATTTCCCTGAAAGAGATATTTTATATTGCCTAGGAAAGTCTTAGTGTATCTGCCAGGTTGATACCTCCCTACTAAGGAATTTAATTCAGCAAATATTTATGGTGTGTGACATCCTTCATATATAACAGGGGACACAGTAGATAAAGATGCTTATCTTTGTGGAGCTTACATTCTAGCAGAGGGAGACATGCAATAAATAATAAGCATAATTCATATAGTATGTTAGGAAGTGGTAAGTACAGAAACAGAAGTGCTTTGGGGTAAGAGAGAATAGATTGGTGGAGAATTATATTAAATACTACAGTAGTTATTGTACTGCATATAATACTACAGTTGCAGTATTGAGTAAGTTAGCCAGACCTTCTGGAAAAAGTAAGATTTGAGTAAAGATCAAAAGCAATTCATCAAGCCAGGATCTGTAAGATGTGTGATGAGGCAGCTAGGGCAAAGGCCTGGTGGTGAGAGCATGCCTGAAATATCTGAGGAAAAGCAAGAAGGCCGGTAGAGTGAGCAATGGGAAAGTGGTAAAGATGAGGTCTGAGCAAAATGGGGCTAAACTTTTGATTCTTGTTCACAGTGAAATGGGAAGGCACTGAGTGTAAAACAAAGGAACAACATGACCTAATTTAGGTATTCAAAGAATAACTCTGACTGCTTCTCTGGGACCAGGCTATGTGTTAGTAGCAGTCTCCTGCAGTAGTGCAAGGGGAGGCCGTGTAACTTGGGGGCAGAGTAGCTTAGGAATGGTGAGTAGGGATTACTTTCTAAAGTTTTGAGAATAGAACTAGTAGGGTTTCTTTATCAGTTGGACTTGGGGTGTCAGAAAAAAGTGAAGCATCTGGACAACTGCCTTGATATAAATCTTTAAACATAGGCATCCACCTCCAATGCCATATACCTCCTCCATTTACTACCCTGCCCACAGTTCGTCAGACAGTGGTAGGCATAGGTAATCAGTAGGCTGGGCATTAGACTACAGGGTGTCCTAGCATGAGAATTTTGTCCAAATAAATGATAATTAACTCTGTCAATGATTTTTTTCTTTCAAGAAACAGAACTGGAGAGACAAAAAAAGAAAAACCCCATCAGCAAGAGCAGAAACTAAGACAGAAAGAAAGCAGTATTCAGACTTTCTGAGTAAGCAGAAACCATGAATAAACAAGAACCCTGAGCAAACAAAAGCCACTAGACAGCAAAAAGACACTCAGAGTAATGACAAGTGATAGAAGATAGCCAAGAAAACATTAGATTCTTAGGAGAGAGAGTCAATGGCCAGGCTGGGATGCAAGGTCCACCCTGGAGCCAAGGTGGAGCGAGCTCCTGTGTGACGGAGCAGGAGAATGGTGCTAGCAGGCGGTGTCTACAGGTGTGCATCAGCGCTGAGTTCAGATGGAATCAGTACTGTGGATGCCGCAATCACACAGGAGCCAAAATTAGGAGGGTGCAAGGAAGCCAGAGAAAGCAGAGGAAACCAGTCTGCTGAGAAAAGCAGAAAAGTGTAGCAGACGCTCGGAGAGAAGCCTGGATGGCAGATGATGCAGCCACGTGAGAGATGGAGCTGTTTCTAATCTTCCTGTTTCAGTCCCATCCCAGAGGGGCCTGACTGTGCTGACCCCTGCACTTTAATGCCCCTGAAGATTGCCATCTGTTTCTGTGCAGAGCAGCTCCTTTTCTATTTGTATTGGAGTGAGCATTTTTATGCATTGGGGATAAAGATGGTACATTTGACTGGAAGTTTCTTGCTATCTACTTATCTTTCAGGATGGAGCATGGCAGACAAGGTACAAAAGGTGGAAAATATAAATGGTTAGTGTGAAGAAGAACAAACTGGAACCACCCAAGGCATTTTGCGTAACTTCTCTCATTTCACCTGTAGTATGAAGGAGGTCACTGATGAGACTCCTAAAGGGGAAAGACTGTCCATCCTCATTAGTTACAGATTCTGTATTTGCAGATTTGCAAACTCACAAAAACTTATTCATAACCACAAATCAATACTCTTAGAGTTCTCAAGGTCATTTTGAAGACATGAGCAGAGTGGTGAAACACTTGAGTTGTCAATATGCACGTTCCCAGCTGAGGTAAGCAATGCTCTGCCTTCTTGTTTCAGCTCTGATACTGTAAACAAGTTTCCCTTTTGCAGTCTTTTTAGTGCCACATGTTTTGCACATTTTTGTGCTGCTTGTTGGTGATTTTGCTATTTAAAATGGCCCCTAAGAACCAAATAAGACATCAGTGCAAAAAATAATAACAGTACAAAACACAATAAAGCAAAAACAGACAATTATAAACCAGAGACATCCTGCAGGGGAGGCAGAGGGAGAGGGATCAGAGGGAGGAAGGGAGGAGCACAGGGGACTGTGGTGATGGTACATGGGTGCCTTGGGGAAGGAAATTCTATGGGGACTCAATCTGAGGGGGTGGGGGAAAGCAAATATTATCTAAAAAAATTTAAAAAGATAAATGTTAAAGTAAAAAAATAAAATAAAAAATAAATGGCTTCCAAATACAATGTTGAAGGACTGTCTAGTGTTCCTAAGCACAGCAGGCTGTGCTTACAGAGAAAATATATGTGTTAGATATATTTTGTTCAGGCATGCAAGCTTGGGACTATGAGATTAATGTTAATGAGTCAATAACAAATATTAAATAAAGTGCATTTAAACAGAAACACAAACAATGAGTTTTAAGTATTGATGGTTGACAAAAATGTTGTGATTAGGGGTTCCAGGAATTTAACTTTATATTTCCCTTAGGAGTAATAGTTTAGTATATGCTTATTCAGCATGCACAGAGACTTTATAGAACATAACTATCATGAAAGACAAGAATCAGCTGTAACAGCTCCAGGATCAGGCAATCTGTAGAAAGTGGAGTGTCCAGCTCCAAAGTCATACCTCTTTAATTCTGGATGCCTGTGCTCTTTCCTTCCTTCCAGAAAAGAAAGAAAATGCTGCTGCTTAGCTTCCAGTATTCCTTCTACTGCATAATGCTGCCTTCACTACAACTTCACCAGCACTAGTGTGGGAAATGAACAGGTATGAAGCAACTTTGAAAGATGGAACACCAGCTATGTGAAGGCTGGGATAGAGATGTGTAACACATTTGCCATCACTCAGCGCTTAAATATATGTGGCAGGTATTGATAATCTATTATAGCTCCTTTTTGTGCTTAAGCCTAGATGGAGTTTCACAATCTTTCTCAACACAAAACTGTTAGTCAGAATTGGCATCTAAGATGAAACATTTATCTTCTTTACATGATCACCTGCGTCCTAAGATTAGGCAAACACTTGAAGTATCTCAGTTGCTGGCTTTCAGGAACTTCAGAGTTTAAGCAAATCAGTCTGTTTCAAATCCTTGACCTTTGTGGTAGCTCTGAGTATCTAGCTAACTCTGCTTTGGAAAGATTTTTCTGGATTCTTTTGTATAAAACTTTGCTCTTGAAAGATTCCTTTCCTTCTCAACTTTGAATGGTCTACCCCTAAAACAAGGGCTTAGAGTTGGTACTCAGTGAAGTTTGTTGAATGAATGCCTGAGGACCTAGCTTGACACGAATCTTCCCCAAGGAGAAATAACTCTGATGTAGACCAGTGACAGAAAGGAAACATGAAAGGCACAAAGTAGGACCAGCATGTTAGGGGATAGAGTTTTCAGAGGAAATACTCAAGAGATTATAAATATAAGCTGAACTGGAGCAACATCCTGTTGGATTGCTTAGCTTCTTTTCTCTTTATGTTCTCGCTTCCCATGATTTACATCTTTATGGTGGTAAATTGGATCTGGAAATCTCAACCAGGAATAGAGTGGAGTCGTTAGAGCGAGGAGGCATGAGGGACACTGCTTGAGCTGGGAGCTAGTTTTGACTCTGAACTAAAGGTCTCCAACCTTCAGTTTCTAGACCTGCTGGGCCCCAGTGCTGCTCATTCTCACATATGGGGTCAGTCCTCTCACCCTTTATCTGCCTATTCCAGCTCCTTTTCCTCAACCCAGACTCCTTTCCCCTTTTTCTCTCTTCTATCAAGCACAGCAGATGGGATCTTAGAGAAAATAGGGATGAGGGCGTGCAAGGTGAGACTAGGAAAAGATTCATGGGAGCCTACGGGGGGAATGTTGCTTTGGAGTTAATATAGCATGGGAGTCAGATTAGATTAGATCTTTTTTTTTTTTAAAGATTTATTTATTTATTTATGCAAGCACTGGGTACAGTTAGAAGCGCGGGAGGGTGAGAGAATTCACCAGAGCCAGAGCAGGGAACAGAACAGGCAGACTGATGAAGTACACTGCTGAGGGGAGCAGCGGGCGGCAGGAGAGGTCTATGCACCATGTGGGACCCTCGCCCGGTGGCCAGGGATCGAACTGGCGCCACAGAGGCTGCGGGCAGCTTCACAGCCCAGCGCTCAACCGCTGCACCATGGGGGTGGCCCAGATTAGATTAAATCTTGTGAGGTTTCTGAACCATGTTAGTTATTATTGGAAGTAATTTTTCAGTCAAAATCTCTGCCCTGTGTTGGGAAAACTACAAGAAACCTGAGCTTCCTAACCCGCAGCTAGATCTGTAGAATGAGTGCAATACTTTAGGCAGCAGGACGTGGTGACAAAGTACATAAGACGTGGGCTTTAGAGTCAGATGGTGTTGGGTTACCTCTTACTGACTCTGTGATTTAGGGCAGCTTTTTTTAAATCACTCTGGATTTCAGTTCTTTCACTTATTTAGTTCTGTCAGATGCCTTACATATAAGGTAAATGTATGTATCTGATGGATTCATGATGGGTAAAAGAAATGAGGTCTATAAAGTTTTTATGATGTATGCGTAGGAAACTCAAATGGCTTTTACGGTTGTCATTAGTAATATGATCGTCTTGTGGTATTTACTTGCACATGATGAGGTATTTCCTTTTCTTCTTATCTCTGAGAATGAAAGCAACATGGACTGAGATGAAGACAGGTACTGGTAGGGTCATGTGAGTATGTGTCTAGGAAGCAGTCCTGATAGTGTATGTGTCAAGAAGCCTGCAGGATTCCCCAGTAGAGACTATAATGGGGGCTCTGGAGACCGTTAGTTCCCAAGATTATAGGGTGATTAACTAGGAAAAGCATGAAAGACTTACTTTGGGAAAGTTTGCTTCCATTTCTGCCCTGACTCTGCAGCCCTGTGGGTAAGAAGGGGTCATCATCAACTTAACCGAGAAATGAACCAATAAACTGGACTGCTATTAAGTTACTGTAAACCTTAACACATTTGGTTTAACCCCCCCTCCCAGTTTCTGGGATGTTTAGATTCTCACTAAATGCATACCCCCTCCCCCACCACTGCCCGAATATTATTCCAGTGTTTGCCCCTCATGCATTGTGTTAGTTTTCCAATGCTGGTCTAACAACTCATCGTTTACTTGTGTAATGTTATAGTTTTGGAGGTCAGAAGACCAAAGCAGGTCTCATTGGACCAAAATCAAGATATCTGCAGAGCTGTGTTCCTTTGTAGAGGCTTTGGTGGGAACTATTGGTTCCTTATTTTTTATGGCTTCTAGGGATCTCCTGTATTTCTTGGCTCATGGCTTCCTTCTGTCTTTAAAACCACATCAAGTCACCCAAACCTATCATCACATTTCCTTCTTGTGTTATTTACTGGCTCTTCTGCTTCTCATTCCACATTTAAGAACCCCTGTGTGTTTACATTGGGCCCACCTGAATAATGCATTATAACCTCCTTATATGAAGGGCAGCTAGTTGGCAACCTTAATTCCATTTTCAACCCTTGCCGTAATTCTAATATTACAAGACATTCTCCCTTGCCAGAAAGCACCACATATTCATATATTCCAGCAGTTAGGCTGTGGATGTTTGGGGGCCAATCTTCTGCCTTTAACAACCATTATTCATTGTGAACTATTCTCTCATTCTAGAATTAGGACAGAAACCAGTGCACTCCCTCAGATATTGGGCTTGAGCCATGGTGTCTAAGAATCACTTTCTGAGGAATTGGTCTCTGTTTGACCCAATTGGCCCTTTAAATAAAGTGACCCATGATGCCTTACACTGAGTATGAGGGTGATCTGACTGCTCTGCCCAAACAGGTGGGTAGGAGAAGCTAGTCTTTATTTCTTCAACAATCTTTAGATTCCTTGTTACGATAGCTGGGTTGATAGGTTCAATTTTTCTTTGATGAGTATTTTCAAACACAAGAAGTCTGTCTGTTCATTTATGTCAAAGCCTTATCTGATAGTACTTTCATTAACTCGATTAATGCCTGAGGCAGTTTACACAGTCTACAAAATCATTAACTGCCAGTTCCTAAATCTACCTAGAGGTGACCTGTACTTTTTTAGACACATGTATAAAGACACACTTATATACATACACAGTGATCAGTGTGGTGGTAAAAAGGTGTTACACAAATGTTAAAGGTGTATTAGGAGAAGGATTAGAAGGAAGGGAGCTAACATTTATTGCAAAACTGTTCTGTGCCAGGAACTTTGTATTCGTATACTCACTTTAATTTTCATTACCATGAAGGAAAGAAACTTTTATTACCTCCATTTTACAAATGGGAAAATTGTGGCCTAAAAATCACATAGCTATTAAGGTCTCAATGTGTACTATCTAGACTATCTGATTCCAAAACTTTTATTCATTACCTTTTACCAGATCAGCTCTCTCTCTCTTTTTTTTTTTTTAGGAAGGGAACATTTTAATATTACAAGACAAAATATTATCATCTTGTACATCTCTAAAGAAATCATGTTTCTGTCACCAGACCAGCTCTTAAAATAAGACAAATGGAGCAGAATATGGATGATCACACTGAGATTTGTGGAACTAGCCTTAGAGTTCCACAGAGTCATCCAGGAACTCCTCACACAGGAGTGAAGGTACTTGGTAAGAGGCAAGCAGAATGGGCGTCCTGCCCACCTTCAATCAGACCAGTTCTGCTGTTATCACTTTTCCATATTGGGATGCAATGTAATATCGCAAAAGGAAAAAGATGGAGTATAGCACTAACATAACCTCCTGAGGGTCATTTTAGCCTTTTGAATGTCTAGACTGGAATCTAACCCTACAGCCCTGTGATTCTGGGACATTTGTCATAGTTGTCCTCAGTTGATTGAGCAGTTCTTCCAGTGTCTTGGTTATTCACTGAATGTGCCTCAGGAACTTTGGTAGAGGTGGTGCTCTCTAGAACAAAATGGTCACTTCAGGTAGTGAGTGATGCAGGGGTTATTGAGATAGAGAAGAGGCAAGTTTCCCTCAGACACTTATCTGCACTGTAGACAGAATGTATGCTGATGAAGAGGGGAAGTCAGATTCCTGTTGGAGATGGTGCTGATCAAGCCCTAGACAGCGGAAGTTGCTACAGAAAAGGAAGCTCTCACGCTGATGATGAATGGGGTAAGGAGAGGTACACAGATCTTTTGAGAATCATTACTTGTAGGGACTATATATATGATTAGGATATTAATATCCTCCATTCTGAGACTCTACTGCACTTGTCACTGATTGGCTCACAGTGAGTCAATATGATACTCTCAAAGCAAGCAGAGTCCCATTAAAGTATCACTTATTTAAATTAAAGGAGATAACAACTTCGAAAATCTAAAGTCAGCATCTCATAAGCTACAATGTCTGAGTGAGTCACCATTTAACAAAGACAACAAGTACAACGAAGTCCAGATCTTCTCTTCATTTTAAGAGCATGCTTAATCTCTGCTGCCCTGAGTTACTTAGTCATCCATCAGGAAAGAATATTCAAAGAATACCCAACATTTATTGATGGACCACTTTAATCCTTACAATAATGAACTTGTATAACTCAAAAATCTCAAAATGTCCTCTCAAATCCATCTTACCCCACTTCTGTAGTAACAAGGTTCCCAGTTCTTAGCTGTGCACAAGGCTGCCTAGAGCGTCCCAGCCTCCCTTGCTATCAGGTGTGACCATGCGACTACATTCTTACCAGTGATACAAGCAGAAGGGGTGTATGGCAGCTTCAGTTTTCCTCAGAAGACATGCCCTTTGTCTCTTCTTCATCCTCCTGTCCTCCATCCTGCTTCCTGGATGCAATGGATGCTCCTCTGGTCACCAGCTTGGACCATAACGGGGAGGCCCATGCCTGAGAATGAGGGGCAGTGAGATGAGCCTGGGCACCTGAGGATAGAGGAGAGCAGCTCTGGATTTTCTACCTCAGCACTTTGCTGTGAGTGAAAAATGAACTATGTCATTTTAAACCATTTATAGCATGTTTCTTGCTCACAGCCAATACTAATGCAAACTGATATACCCTATGTGTTAGCAACTATATTATTCCAGTGTTTCAAATGAGGAAATTGCAACTTTGTCAGATTAAATCACTTTCCCAAATCACCCACTCTGCAGGAGTCAGAATTCGAACCCTGATTTTTGCCAAAGTCCATGTGCTTTCTTCCTTCTAAGTATTCACTTTCAGGTGAACCCTAGGTGGGTGATAGTTTTTGCCTTATGTGGCTGGCAAGAGATTTTCAGCAAGGCCCTCTCACAGTGTCTAGTCATGAATGTACTGCTTCCACTTTGCTCCTCTGTCATCTTTCAAAAATAAAATTTATGAGCCACAAGGGTCATGGTGAGACTCAATTACATTTTACCCTGATAGTCTTGGGATGTTATAGCACCTGCCAGGGGTCTGACTTGCATGAAGATTCTTAGTCCTTCTAGGAGAAATGGTAAAAAAGGAGACCCTAGAGTGATAGGTGGTTGATACCTTGAGCAAAGAGGGAATGAATAAGTAGGCTCTGATCCTAGGAGGAAGACAGAGGTCTGGTGGTAGAAAATCAGAGAACTGACTTGAAGTGACAGTGGGGTGACGGTGAGCAGTGAGAGGGCATATCCATCTTATTAGAGACACAAATCAGATTGATGAGGGAGTCTGAAGTAGATGCTGTTACCAGGTGATCTCAGCACAAACTGTAAATAATGAAAAGGGCTATCTGTGGTGTGATTAAATAATACTAGCTCTGGTCATGGTGATCAAGGCTGGGAGATGGGGGAGGCAAATTGGCAGCACCGGCAGAAATAATGGAGCAAATGGACACTCTACTCTTGAATGCACACATCTCCATCAAGTGTCGAGTCAGAACTATTGGTGGATAATGGCTGGTGGCTGAATTATTTGCAGACCTTGTAAAGACATGGCTGGGGCACATCTGACAACATAGTCCTTAGAAACTGGGAGGGGACATTAAAAATTTATATTTTATAAATGACATTAAAGTTCAGATATTGTCAATTCCACATACATGAGATACAATTCTTAGAAACAGAAAGTAGAGCAGTGGTTACAGGTCTGGAGCGAGGGGGGGAATGGGAAGTTGTTTAGTGGGTACAGAGCTCTGGTTTGGGACGATGAAAAAGATAGTGGTGATGTTGCACTACAATCTGAATGTACCTGATGCCACTGAACTACTATATATTTTAAAATGGTTGCAACAGTAAATTTTGTTATTTTTATCTTACTACGCAAAAAATATGTTTAATTATGCAGCCATACATTTCCCCCCCCTCCCTCTACCTCCCATTGAGGAGAAGGAGCTCCAGGGAACCTAGCACTGTAGCTAGAAATCCTGTACTATTATCTCTGTTCTGCATTTAACTGCTTCTGATTCTAGACATTGTCCATTTGGGATCATTCCTTGTTCCTCAGACTTAATGAAGATTTAGCTTCTGAGGCTCAACTGCAGATATATATTCCTAAGGTATATTTGCTCTTCCCCTCTATCAAATATATCCCAGCTGCTCTGGGAAACTCTGTACCCTTGTTCCCCAAAGCTGTTTCCACCTCCAGGGTCACGCTTCTGCTTATGGCCCTGCCTGGCCTAATCTAACTCTCCTCAAGGGCAAATCAGATAACCTAATCATCTAGACCCACACCACTGTCTCCTTTTACTCACCCCCTATACTCCAGAACTAGAGCATTTATCATCTACACACCATCTTGTGACACCCCCAGGGGGGGCGGGGGTGATAAGAGCTGAGGTCATGGCTAACCAGGCCGCCCTGGGGATAAGAAAACAGAATATCAGACAGACCAACCCCAGCATCCACATAGACTAGCAGAGAGGCCCATGAGTGGGCAGCAACTCACATGGCCAGACTGAGGGTCAGGGAGCTCTGGCAACAGAACCCACAGACCATTTTATTTCTTGATTTTGCTTTCTTTCCCTCTAGAACACAGATGAGAGCTGACGCCTCCCTGATCAGTGAGAGCTTGATGATATTGCCTCAATTACCTGACTCCACAATGTAGAATAACATAGCTTTCCCTAGCTTTTTGGGAATTTTCAGAGGTTTATGCTCTTTTGAACCTCTCCGCCTCTGTGCTTCTGAATTCAATTGTGTTAGCTCTAATTTGCCCTTAGTCAGCTCAAAAGGAAAATTGAGTTCTTTCACGAGTTACTCGTATCCAAAACACCTGTTTTACAGATGGGGCAACTGGAGAGGTTAAGTAACATGTGATGAACATTTATAATTTGGGGGACTTTTTTATTAGACTTTGGTGGTGGTGGGGGATGCTGTTACGTTTTACAGTGCTCAGTCCTCTGTAATCTTGCATAACTGGACCACCCCATTCTTTATCTACCCTAAATTTACCCATCCCAGAAGGCCTCTGAATTTCATATTCTTCTTTCCTTTTACACAGAAAGGATTTCCACTCTCATATTCAAGCAGTTATCAGAATATTTCTTCTCAAGCAGTTAATTCTTCTCTAATAAGAACCCTACTACTAATCTTTAACATAATACAATTTTCTCTATAGTTACACTTGCCTAGTTTTATATTTTCTAAAATCAGCCAAACCAAATATTTTCAAAATAAAAACTCTCAGACTCACTCAGAGTAAAATTAAAAATTTAAACACCCAAAGTCAGACCTCACATGAAAGCACTTCCTGTATTTAACCCACATGGATACCCTCTTTCTCCAACCTCCATGGATCATGCAGCAATTCCTTAACTTGCCCATGCATATACTTGTCACCTGGGGATCTTTGGGACACAATTCTTACCCAAGCTACAGGGGTTCTAATTTAGTAGATGAAGGTGGGGCCTAGGACTCTGCATCCTAAAATTCCTTAATTATTATTTAGGAACACTAATTGCATTGGCTTCATTTCAAAGGCTCAGTAGCCACATGTGGCTAGTATCTGCCATGCCAGATAGCGAATTTACAGAACATTTCTATCACTCCTGAAGTTCCAGCGAATGGCACTCATCTAGGCCATGTGCTGCCTATGACACTTACTGTATTGTTTATTAGCAAATGTCACTTTGCCCACCATCATTCTTCTACCTTCCAGACTCTTACCATGCCATCTGCACTATCATACCCTAGCAAGAAAACTCTCCTATAGCCTAAGCACCTTCTCTGTTCTCTCTGTATCTTGGCCTCAACTTACTTCAGGGCCAGGATAGTGTAGGGTCAGGACAGGACACATTGCAGGTTTTCTGATCCAGCAGACTGGGTAAAGGAGGAGAGAGTCCCGGAGACCTCAGCGGGTTTTCAGGCTTTTATTGGGGTTCACCAGGCATATGGCAGGCAAGGGTGCTGGGGGGCCAGGAGGTTGGTAGTCTTCCCAGCCCCCAGCAAATCCTCATTCTATCTGGGCTCTCTGGTGTTTTCTCTGCTTCTCTGCCCTTCTGTTTGTTCTGCTGCTTCTTGGCTTCTGCTGGCATCCCCGTGACACCGACCTTAAAAAGCATAGTCTCAGCCCAGGTGAATCCCATCTGCCTATGCCCACACCCTATTCCAGGTGCCCGCCATCAGGCATGCATTCAGGGCCGCAAGGAGCCATCATCTATCCTGATGGCGGGAGGGCAGAAAAGCCTGACATTTTCTGCAGATAGGATGTTGAGGTTCTCTTTGCCCCTAGTACGTGTTTCTACACTCTTGTGAAAGACTCAGCCATTTAGAGCCTAGTGCTATTGCTATTATTTTTCTCACCATTTTTACAGTCTTACTATCAGCCTTCCACTCCTTCATTGAAGACTTTTACACCTGGCTCACAATATCCTTGTTTACCTCAAACCTTGCTGTTGTGACCTGCTCACCTCCAGCTAAGAATAAGAACTAACTCTTGTTATGTGCCAGTCACTGGTCTAAGAAATCAGCATGTTATATATTCACTCATGTGATTCTATGACAGCCCTAAAAGATAGGTCACTTATCGTTATCTCCATTTTACAGATGAGGAAGCAGTTAAATAATCTGCTGGTGGTTGTGCCTCCGTCAAGTAGTGAAGGATGCATCTACACTAGGCACTCATCCATTCTAAATTTTCTCCTAGTGATGTTCTTTCATTCAGCCTCAGTTATCTACTTCTACAGCTATCTCATGAACTCTGCCATCACCTCTACGTGTGTCATCTTCTAATCACTATGTCAGGCATCCCACCCTCTGACCACTTCTCTCTCCCTCCATGGGTCAATGAAAACACCTGTAAAAGTAAAGGAAATAATAGCAACATTTATATAGTCCAGTGTTAATTCATTTATTGCTACAACAATTCTGTGACAACAGCAGGTATTAGTATCGTTTCACAGATAAGGAAATTGAAACACAGAGAGGTTAAGTTACTTGCTGAATGTCATGTAGCTCATTGATGACAGAGTCAAAGTTTGAATGTAGTCAGGTTACCTACTAGGTTCAGTATGTAAACCTGGAGTCATGGGGAAAATCATTATCTTCTGGGGATTTTTTTCCCCCAAATTACCCACGATTACCCACCCTTTCCAAAAGTCTGTTTTGAAAGAGCCACTCATGGTTTGTCTCATATTGAGAACCACACATTCAGTCACTTCAGCAGCCCCCCCGACCTGTTATTCTGTTGGGTCCACAGCCATGGTCAGAACTGCTTCTCCCAAACAGGTCAGGGCTGGGCCTGAGAGCAGAGGTGTCCTGCCCAGCATGGATGAATGAAAAAAGCATGCAGTATCGATAGTGGAGGAACTGTGTATGGCAGCAGGGATGGACAGACTCCTCAATGCCTATGTAGCACTTGGTGAGTTGTTTTTTCTCATGTCCATCTGACTCCATCTGGTTTCCAGGGAGAAGATCAACTGCTGAGCTGTGGGTTGTGCAGGGCAGCAGTTTGCTCCTCACTAACATGATGGCTTCTAAGATGAGTTGAGAGCTGGAGGAGAAAAGGAGAGCAAAGACAGTGTTCTTGGCATAGATCCAGGGGAAAGGCAGTCTGGCTGAAACAGTTCAGTGCCCTTGGCGAGGAAGAGCAATCTACGTAAACAGGAAGTAAAAAGGTTGGGGGGAGAGGGCAGTGGTTAGTCGGTGAGAACAGAGCTGACACCAGATGGGTGTAAGTGGTTACATGCAAAAGAGATATGATGCAGGCCCAGACTTCACATGTTAACTGTCTCTCGTCGGAGGCCTAGTTTCGCTAGCATATCTGTGCTGTCGGGATAAGTCTTTGAGCACCTGCCTTTCTTGCCAGTTGTCAGGTAGATTTATTTGATCTCAATAGTCTAAACATTCTGAGAGGATGGGATTATTATTTCCACACTTTTAGGTGAGGCAACTAACTTAGATATTGTTGCT